GCAGCATTCGATGTTGGTTTAACTTCAGCGGCGAACTTCAGCGAGAACATATTTTCAATGAGCGGGTTCCAACCTAATGAAGAGTGAGAATCTTAATTTTATTTCTTATATTAATTTTATCTTTTATTATCCGACTACTCATAAAAGAGAGCGCTATCCCAAAAGACGCGCTGAGCTCATTAGTATCAGAATCTGAAGACAGCAGCATCCGATGTTGGTTTAACTCCAGCGGCGAATATGTAGAGAACATATTTTCAATGAGCGGGTTCCAACCTAATGAAGAGTGAGAATCCAGCCGATGTTCTAGGTACTTCGGGAGTACTTTTTTTAGGGGGTATACTTGTTTTATTTGTTTATGTAACATCATTGGCTTCCAATGAAATATTTAATTTATCTATCAAACTTACTTTATTTTCTGTATTTATTTTATTTCTTATATTAATTTTATCTTTTATTATTGACAAAACTTCTATCTCATTATTTTTAATAAACAACGAAATTGAATCTATTATTAAAATAAGTTCATATTTTATAGAAAATTCTTTATCATTAAATAAATTATCTAATTTTTCTACTAATTTTATTACAATTCTATTAATAAATTATTTATTAATTACTTTAATAGTAGTAGTAAAAACAAGGAAGAACGCTGTAGTCGAGTACCTCGACTGTCAGATACCCGTTACTCAGCTAATGGGACCAAAGGGAAATGGAGATATGCAAGCAGCAAAGCGATATTGAAATGCGCCACCTGCCGGCGGTAGATAGATTTAAGCGTTGTGGGCGTTAGAGTGGGCGTGGCATATTCGCCTAAAAAACTTGCGCTGCGTATAAAGCTACGGAATCTATATCTGAAATCCCAATCCTCTATCTTTGATAGTTTCCGAGATATTCACGTTCATACTTACGATTTTTGAAGTTTGTGGGCGGTTTATGGGCGTTAGGGTGGGCGTGGGTCAATCGATAGGTATTGAAGACACCATTACATTTCAGTTAAAATTTTTTATCTAGCATGAAAATTGTGTGCGCCACAGTTTTGGGCGGTTTGTGGGCGTTAGAGTGGGCGTGGCGTTTTTTTGATCAATCGATAGGTATTGACGAGACCAATATATTTCAGTTAAAAGTTTTTATGTAGCCTGAAAATTGTGGGCGCCACAGGCTTGGGCGGCTTGTGGGCGTTAGAGTGGGCGTGGCGAACTTCTTTTTTGGATCAATCGATAGGTGTTGATAAAAGCAATACATTTCACTTAAAATTTTTTATTCTAGCAGCAAAACTGTAGAAGCCACAGTTTTGGGCGGTTTGTGGGCGTTAGAGTGGGCGTGGCACTCTGCTGAAATAAACTTGCGCTGCGCAGGAATCTCAGGAATCTGCATGCCTAACCCCAGTATTGTAGCTTGTATAGTTTCCGAGATCTCAGCGTTCATGCGGACCGACGGACATGGCTAGATCGACTCGGCTAGTGATCCTGATCACGAATATTAGGCAAATCGATTTAGCGTCGCTTGTGAACGGTTGTGTTTACTCTTGTGCTCTGAATTTTTGTCTATTCTATGATTTTTTGCGAGTGTTTTGTGTTTGTTTATTAACAAAGCTTAGTCTAACCGCTGGGTTAGTGTGTTTTGCGTTTTTTACTAGATCTCCCAGTGATTATAGTTATTTTAACATTTAAATTAGATTTGTTTAATCTCCTAGCTTTGTTAGTGTAATTCTTATTCTCACTAAACTTGCTAAAACTCTTTGATTCTCACTCTCTCTCCCGCTCTATATTACAACTGTAACTTAAACTCTCTCTGAACCTGCCAAATTTCTGGTAGACTTTTGGTGTGCTATTCTCTTGTCTCTCTCTCTCTCTCTCTCTCTTGCTTGCTTTACATTGTAACTGTTCCTGCGTAAAGTTGTCAGTGTCCCACAAGCAACGCTCAATCGATAGAAGATTTTTTCTCTCGTGCTCTCTTACATTTAAATTATTACGCGATCTCGCGCTCTTATTTTTTTCGTGTTTTGTGCCTTTGTGGTTTTGGAATTTGATCCCAGTGCCAAATTTACTTGAGGTATTTTTCATATATTATTTTATTTTATTTAATTTCCTTAAAATGGCTCTTGTCTGCTCTAAGAAACATTGTACTCTTTCGTCTTCAACTAAAGACCCTTTTATTTTCTGCTGGCTCTGCGAGTCGATGATGCACGTTAAATGCGCAGGATTTACTGGTAGAGTCAAAGACTTCATTGATCAGAATTCTGGACTCATGTGGTCATGTGGATCCTGCAAGGAAATGGTTGTTGAGATGAGCGGCTTTATGAAGCAGACTCGAGACAGCCTTTTGAATCTCTCTGGTGCTTTTAAACAGCTCAATCAGGGGTTCAATTCCGTTTGTGCCCAATTTAATAATAAAAAATTACTAACTTAGTCGCCTAAACGTAAAAAAACCAGCTTAGCGGCAGTTAATACGGTCACGGTATCCACCCCAAATCCGAACTTGGTGGCTGCAGCAGTCTCTGTTGACACTGTGGTAAGTGAACCTACTGCGCCTATGGATACAGCTGTTTTAGGTGAAGTCACTGCCTCTCGAAGTCGGGTGGTAAAAAAACCTTCAGTGCCGGCTACGGTGCCGACCGTACCTATAGGTACAGAAGTTACCGTTTCTGGCTCTCAGTTTAGTGAGGTGCAATCTGCTGCTGGGGGACGTAAGAAATTATCAGTTGTTCCACATAGAAAACAATTATTTGTTTCGAGATTCACCCCAGATACCACATCTGAGGATGTTTTCGAATTTATTAGTGAAAAATTCCCATCCGAGAATATTTCAGTGGAACAATTTAGATTTTCATATGCTCGTAGTATATCGTCGTTTAAAATATTTGCTCTGCCCGATGTGTTTAAGGTACTACTTTCTGAAAGCTTTTGGCTTAATGATGATTTAGTAATAAAAGAATTTGTTCCCAATAAACCGAGAACAAATAACAGATCTTCCACTGCGCCAAAAAACTAAAAAGTTTATTTTTGGCTTATCAAAATGTTAGGGGACTAAATATGAAGCTACCCAAGCCTTATGCTGACTCCTCTGCATTTACTGCTGATATTTTGGCTTTTACGGAAACTTGGCTGAAACCAGAGATATCTGACAATGAAGTTCTGTCAAACAATTTTAATGCCTATAGGACCGATCGCTCCTCACGTAGGGGAGGCGGTGTGCTGATTGCCGTTAGCACTAGCCTAACATCCGAGAGAATTCACTCTGATACTCCTAATGAAATTGAATTTGTTAGTGTGAAAGTTTCCTTGCAATCATTCTCAATATTTGTTACATGTTCCTATATTCCACCTGGCTCTGATTTAATAATTTATGAGCACCACCTGTCTGCGATAAAATCTGTTCTATCCCTTCTTTCTAACAGTGACCTTTTGATTGTTTTGTGTGACTTTAATCTCCCTGATATTTCTTGGTCTCCTCCTACTGACTCACTAGTCGCTATACCTCTATCCGCCCATGATTTTGTAGATGGTCTTCTAGAATTATCGTTACAGAAAGTAAGCTTTATACGGAATTCATTAAATAGACAACTAGATCTTGTGTTTGTTTCAGACCCGTCTGAAGTCACGGTATCTAGAATTGACGCTCTTGTTGTACCTGAAGACCGATATCATCCAACAATGGAATTGACAATCTGCCTCCCATGCGTTGATACCCTCTCTCCTTTAGTTTCTCAAACTAAAGTGAGATGTTTCCGAAAATGTAACTATAAAAAACTTAACGACATGATTTCTCAATATAATTGGACAATATTGTACAATTGTATGGATATTGAAAGTGCCACTGAACACTTCTATATAGTGTTAAATACCTTTTTTAATGAATGCGTTCCTGATAGGTTTCCTTCAAAGACAAACAGGCCACCTTGGTTTACCAATGCGCTTCAAAGACTTAAAAACCTTAAGACAAACACTTATAAAAAGTATAAGAAATCGGGTAAGCCATCTGATTTTTCGAAATATGTGGTGGCTCGATCGGATTTTAATGTTCTCAATAGTCATTGCTATTCTATGTATTTAAGCCGAGTTTTTCCAAACTACTTATAGTTCGGCTGCTTGGTCAAATTCTAACTACCCTAATCCCTTAAATAAGGCAAATTGTATCTTTACCCCTGAAATTACGGAAATTTCTCTCGTAAGAGACTTAGAAAAAACAACGCCCACTTATTCTCCTGGTCCTGATGGACTCCCCGGGTGTGTGCTTAAGTTTTGTGCGTCAACCATATGCAAACCGATTCTTAAACTTTTTAATTTGTCTATTTCATCGTCAGTTTTTCCTACTATCTGGAAGGACTCTTTTATCATTCCACTTCACAAAAAGGGTGCGAAGGCGGATGCCCAGAATTACAAAGGTATTTCTAAATTGTCGGCAATTCCTAAAGCATTTGAACGTATTATTACTTCTCATTTGCAACATTTATGTTCCTCGCTAATATCACCGTGTCAGCATGGTTTTGTTAAGCGAAGATCGACCACCACCAACGTTCTGGAATTGTCATCTATTGTAATAAATGGATTTAAGAATAAAATGCAGACTGACGTTATATACACAGATTTTAGTAAGGCCTTTGACTCTGTCAACCACTCTCTTCTCTTATTCAAATTAAATCAGCTTGGGTTTCCATGTAATCTATTAACTTGGATTTCAAGTTATTTGAATGGTAGGACTCAGAGAGTTATATTCAAGAACGCTGCCTCAAAACTGATCTATGGGACATCTGGAGTGCCTCAGGGTAGTCATTTGGGCCCTTTGCTGTTTACTTTGCTTATTAACGATCCTTCCTCTATCATAACACACTCTCGTGTACTAATGTATGCTGATGATGTTAAGCTTTGTTTATCACATAATGAAATAGCGTCGGGTTTCAACTTACAGTCAGATATTGATTGTTTTCAGGGATGGTGTGAGTATAACCTTTTAAATTTGAACTGCCTTAAATGCAACGTTATGACTTTTCATAGGGGTACTCCTACCCTTTTGTTGGTTACTCTCTTCAAAATACGCCACTCGATCGTATATATTCAATTAATGACTTAGGCGTTCTTCTGGACCCAAAACTTAAATTTGACTGCCACATAATGTCCACTGTCAGCAAGGCCATGAGTGTTCTTGGGTTTATAAAGCGTTGGTCAAAAGAATTTGATGACCCTTACACAACCAAATTATTATTTACCTCCCTTGTCCGTCCTATTTTGGAATATTGTTCTTCGGTTTGGAGTCCACAATATCAAGTGCATATTGACCGTATTGAGTCGGTACAAAAAAAATTTCTTCTTTTTGCCCTTCGTAGTTTGAACTGGGATCAAAACATAAGGCTACCTTCCTATCAGAATAGATTACTGTTGCTTAATTTACCTACCCTTGCAAATCGTAGAACAATGCTTGGTACTATTTTTATGCAAAATCTTATAAGAGGTGATATTGATTCTGTAGAACTTGTAAACCGCCTAACTTTCAATGTTCCTGTTAGACTAACACGAAATTATTATCCCCTAAATTTGCCACGATGTACATCTAATTTTTGTCTGCACGAGCCCTTTCGCGTTCTATGTAATAATTATATCCTATATCATTTAATTTGCACTTCAACTTCTATCCCGGTATTAAAAACTAATATTTTAACTCATTTGCTTCATTCTTAGATGCTCCTCTTATTTTCATTTGTGTCCCGTCTCTATTTGTTTTTTGTATCTTCCTCGCGAACTCGTATTTTTTGCCCAAATGGATAAAAGGGCCCCGCGCGTAACAAGCACGTGCTTGGTGTCGTTGGGCCACTTGTTTGTACTGCTCGTAGTGCATCAACGTCCATTATATATAAAGAATATATATACCTTATGGGGTCGGAAACGCTTCCTTCTTCTACATACTTCCGACGAATATAGTATACCCTTTTACTCTACGAGGAACGGGTATAATTACTAAATTATTTAAAGGACCTATTCGAATAAAATCATAATTAATGAATAAACCTTTACGAACTTCCCACCCTTTATTTAAAATTGCTAATAATGCTTAAGTAGATTTACCAGCTCCAATTAATATTTTAAGATGATGAAATTATAGTTCTTTACTTGGATTATGTTTAATTATTCAAATTTTAATTGGATTATTTTTAGCTATACACTACACAACCGATGTTAATTTAGCTTTTTATAGAGTTAATCATATTTGCCGAGATGTTAATTATGGTTACACGCTAACGGTGCATCATTTTTTATACCCGTTACTCGTAGAGTAAAAGGGTATACTAGAATCGTCGGAAAATATGTAACAGGCAGAACAAAGCGTTTCCGACCAAATCAAGTATATAAATTCTTAATCAGGATCACTAGCCGAGTCGATCTGGCCATGTCCGTCTGTCCGTCTGAGCTTTGTTTCAGCAGAGTGCCACGCCCACTCTAACGCCCACAAACCTCCCAAAACTGTGGCTCCTACAGTTTTGATGCTAGAATAAAAATTTTAACTGAAATGTATTGTTCTCATCAATACCTATCGATTGACCCAAAAAAAAAATTGCCACGCCCACTCTAACGCCCATAACGCTTAAATCTGTCTACCGCCGCTTCCTTCTGCCTGTTACATACGAGTAACGGGTATAATTATTTCTTAATCCAACATCGAGGTCGCAATCTTTTTTATCGATATGAACTCTCCAAAAAAATTACGCTGTTATCCCTAAAGTAACTTAATTTTTTAATAATTTTTAATGGATCAATTATTCATAAATTAATGTTTTTAAAAATTAAGAGTATTTTCAATTTTAATATCACCCCAATAAAATATTTTATTTTATTAAAATTAAATTAATCTTTATAATTAAAATAAATAAAAATATAAGGATATAGGGTCTTCTCGTCCTTTAAATAAATTTTAGCTTTTAGACTAAAAAATAAAATTCTAATAAAAATTCATTCCAGCCTTCAATTTAAAGACTAATGATTATTCTACCTTTGCACAGTCAAAATTCTGCGTCCGTTAAAAAATTTTCATTGGGCAGGTTAGACTTTATATATAATTCAAGAAGACATGTTTTTGTTAAACAGGCGAACATTATTGTTGCCGAATTCTTTACTTAAACTTTTCATAAAAATTTATTTAAACAATATAATATATTAAATTCTATCATTATTACATAATTTCAACTGTTAAAATTAATATTTTAAGAAATATTTAAAATTAAATAAATAATTTTATTTATAAAATAAATTATAACACATTTTTTAATAATTGCTAATTATAAGCATATATTTATTAAATGTATTTATTATTTTTATAGATTTATTTTATAGTTTATCCCATAAAATATTAAAATTATAAATTATTTAATTAATAGAATTAATTAAATAAATGTATAATTTCTAAATTAAACTTATTTCTTAAAAAACGAGATACCTTTAAAAACGTATGACATTTTGTTTCTAATATAATATTTTAAATAATTTTGTCACATTAACTTATATATTATATTAACTCTTTTAAAATCGAGAAAAAAAGTATTTGTTTTTTATTTAAAAAACGCTGATCACAGGGAACAATTAATTAAATTTTCTTTTGTAATACATTTTTTTCAAATTATTTCAATTTTCTTTTACAATACTAATAAACTATTAGTAAAATTATGTTTTCTTTAAACAATACTAATACTTTAAAATTTATAGTTATTTTTAATACTTTTATAAAAAAAAAATAATAAATAAAATTGAATCAATTTATATTGACTTGCTCAAAAATCTTTTCAATGTAAATGAAATGCTTTACTGTATAAGCTTTAAATTGTCATTCTAGAATCTAGATACACACTCATCTACTATGTTACGACTTATCTTACCTTAATAATAAGAGCGACGGGTGATGTGTACATATTTTAGAGCTAAAATCAAATTATTAATCTATATAATTTTACTACCAAATCCACCTTCAAAAATTCTTTCATTATTTTACCCGTTTAAATAATTTTATTGTAACCCATTATTATTTAAATATAAGCTAAAACGACGGTATATAAACTGATTACAAACGTAAGTAAGGTCCATCGTGGATTATCGATTACAAAACAGGTTCCTCTGGATAGACTAAAATACCGCCCAATTTTTTAAGTTTCAAGAACATAACTATTACTACTTTAGCAATTAATTTACATTTTAAATAATAGGGTATCTTATCCTAACTTTTTATTAAAAATTTTTAACTTCAATTATTAACTTACAAAATAATTTAAATATAAAATTCCACTTAACATATTTAATTTTATTTTAATTTAAGCAATTTAATTAATACCAAAAAAATTTATTTGTATTATTGGTATAACCGCAACTGCTGGCATCAATTTGGTCAATACTTTTTAAAATTGGTATTTCTAAATTTCTTTAATTAATAATATTAATTACTGCAAATACATTTTTAAATTTATTTTTGAAATAAATATAAACTTATGTACATATAAATCAAATTTATAACACATTTTTAAGCCAAAATTAAACTTTAAAATTGTTTTTATAATTATATTAAGTTAATAATTATAAATATGTTTTATTTATAATAGTAATTAATAGTATATTTAATTAAAATAAATATAAATTTTAATAAATATTAATTTATTGATAAAAATTTTTATTATAATTTTTATTATTATTTTAAAAATAAAATTTGTATTATTAAATAATAATTAATGTATAAAAAAATTGCACTATTAAATTATATATTTATGTCGGAAAATTGAAGCCTTCTCCATAAAGGTTCGCATTAGTCGCTTGGTCAATTGCTTGTTGTTGCTTCATATTGAGTTCTGGCTGATGCAGCGAGTCTTCGTTGCTCATAATAATTAACCTTTTAGCAGTCCTCAATTGTACACCACGTTATAGCTCAGGACAAAAGAAAAAGGAAGCGACCAGACCTAGCAACGCAACGAAGCCACTCAAAACCTCAGTTCGCAAACTGAGTCCCCATCATACCACAACTGGTATGTACCAGTTTTAGCCACGGTCACACCTTAAAGTATCATGCCTAACTAAAGACTGAACTACCTCCTCTCCGACACGGCCATCCTGACTAATACACGTCCTCGTTCTATAATAACATCTGAATTTCATTCCAATTTATTATTTTTATTGAATGCTTCCGAAGAACTTAATCACATAATCTCAAATCCATATAATGTTCATTAACATAACTTAACTTCTATTTTTAACGTGTAGGCTATTTTGACATATCTCTGTTATATTTTTTTATAAAACAATAAAACATCTTAAATTATACATTAGTCAGTTCAAATCGTTAATTCGTAAACCAAAATACATAACTACATAACATAACGTAACCACACATTGGCTTCAAACATTTCCAAACAATTTAAATTGTCCATCGCCCAATAACATGGCTTCACAAATTCTTCAAACACATTACTCGTCCATCGCCTATAATTTGGCTTCACGAATTCATCAAATACATTACTCGTCCATCGCCCATAACTTGGCTTCACGAATTCATCAAATACATTACTCGTCCATCGCCCAACACTTGGCTTCACGAATTCATTAAACACATTTGTAAAGCAACTCTCGTCCATCGCGAACCACATGACTTCACGAATTCATCAAACACATAACTAAAATACATTATTAAAGCAACTTTCGTCCATCGCCAATCACATGGCTTCCCGAACACTCTCTTTTTCAACAGGTTTTTCCAACTGACTTTGTTCTTTGTAATTTACATCAAGCTCTTCTGGAATTTGCACATCCGGTAACTTTCGCAAACTTTCGTGTGGGTACTTGTAACGCCTATTGTTCTGTGTAGACTTTAAAACGTATCGGTCTCCATCCAATACCTCGACCACCAAAAAGAGTCCTCTGAACTTTGGATCTAATTTCGATTGCTGTCTCTCGCTGTTTTTAAGCAGCACAAAGTCACCCACACAGAACCTTGTTACTTTAGCCTTATTTTTATCAAATTTTGTCTTCTCACATCTAGCGGCCTCCTCCATGTTCTTAATGGCCAACTCCCTTGATTTAATCTTAAACTAATAGGTATCAACCCCAGTGGTCGCCCATTTTTACCAATGAAAAGTTCTAAAGGACTACACTTAGTGCTACGATTAACTGTACAGTTAAGAGCTAACTGTACATCCCCCAGTGCATCCTGCCACGATCTAGAGCTTGTCTCAACAGCCGTCAACAGATTCTTCAGTGTACTCATGACCCTTTCAACTTGACCGTTGGCTCGACTTGCGCCCGTTCCAATTAGATGTAATTGTACTTTTTGGCTAGAACAAAATTGCAAAAACTTTGTGCCAGTGAAGCTGCGCCCCTGATCGGCAATTAAACGTGTTGGCATGCCAAAAATGGCAATCGAAGATTTCATTGCGTTTATACAAGTATTAGCATCCAAGGAAAAGGTGTGAAATAGATAAACGTATTTTGTAAAAGCGTCGATTTGTACAAAGAATACTTTACGATCACTTTTTCCGCTCAATTTTCCCGATATATCTATGTGAACAGTGTGCCAAGGAATGCTTATTTTTGGAATTGATTGTAATTCCATTTGAGGTTTTCCTGACGTACCCTTAGAAACTCTGCATGTAATGCAATTCTCCACAAATCGTCGAACATATTTTACCATACCCGAAAACCAGTAATGACCGTACACTTTATCCAGTGTTTTCTCCTAACCTAGATGCATGATAGACTCATGTACCTGATTTATAACTGATTAGCGAAAAGTACGAGGCACTTCAGGTAAACAACGAGTTCTTGAATTCCTCTGAATCTTTCTATACAAAACATTTGATCTAATTTCATAAGTGGCATCTAATGCCAATGGTAAATCGTCATTCCTCAACTTAGTTAAGATTTCCGATATTTCTGGATCCTTTTGTTGTTCCACTAGTATCCAGTTCTCCGATATTTCTGTTAAGTCAATTCGTTTTTCTTCTATTTTATTTGGTACTGACTTATTTTTTAGACACACCGGGTTCCTAGGTAGAAAGTTCACGTGTGCCATACTTTTACCTTCTCTGTATTCAATTTCGAATTCAAATGTTTGTAGAAACTCCCAATAACGATAAATCCTAGGTGACAACTCGACTTTATTTCGAGAGGATTTGATTGAATTACAGTCAGTAAAAATCACGAATTTTCTCCCATGCAGATAGTGACGGATATGTTTTACAGCATTCACGACAGCCAACGTTTCTTATTCATATGATGTATATCTGGACTCACAGGGGCTAGTTCTCTGCTAAAGTATTCAACCACATGGGGCTTAGAGTTTATGCGGTGCAAAAGGATGGCACCATACCCGATAGAGCTGGCGTCGGTAGGCAGTTCTATCGGAAACTGAGGATCAAAAATAATCAAGACAGGCTTGTTTGTTAATACACTAATGATTTTACTGCGCATTAGTTCATGTTGAGTTTGCCAATCAAAACTATTCTTTTCAGATGTGAGAAAATATAAAGGCTTCATCAGCTGAGAAAACCCCGGAATGAATTGACGAAAATATGACGCTAACCCAATGAATTGTCTTAGAGAAGCAACTGACTTCGGAGGAGGCAACGCCACTAGTGATTATATTTTGTTAAGACTTGGACGTATCTCCATCGCTTGTATCTCAAAGCCAAGGAAGCGAACTGTAGTTTTCAAGAAACAGCACTTTGAAATTTTAAAAGAGAATCCTGCCTTCACCAAAACGTCTAATACGAGTTTCAAACGCTTATACGCTTCTTCCTTCGTTTCTGAAACAATTAATATACTGTGACGAACCCGCCTAGAAGGCGCGTGCGCCACAATAAGTACTACTTTCGTTATTATAGCTTTAAGAGAAATACAGTGAATTATAATAAATGTTAAGTTTAATTAAGAATAAATTAGTCATAGCTAAGTTCAGAACCCTGGGCGGCAACGCCAACCGATAGTTCATCAAGACATGTTGAATACTAGAAAAGCGAAGGAGCTAAAATACCAGAAGTAGAAAAATACTAGAAATCCCGAATAAAGGAAAAGGCCGGAAAATGAGGGAGGGACACGCGGCGATCGTGGCGGCTGGCTTCTCTCGGGACCGCGGAACGAAAAAGACGTGTGATTCGGACACGGCTCAGCGAGGGTTCAAAAGTCACGCGTGCTCCTCGAAAAAGCCGAGCGGAGGCGATCAAGTTCTGCAGAGTGGCCACGCGGGCGATTACAAGGCACACATACATATATAAGCAAGTCAGCTAAGGTTAGTACGGGCAGTTTCTCATGAGCTGAAGACGGTGTAGCAGACCCGAGTGAGGACAAAAATGAATTAACGGTGAAGAATATCTAATTGCATCTCTCGATCGTGTTTTTCCTTCTCGTAGTTAGGTACCAAAAGCTGTGGACCTCCTTCTCGTCCGCTCCAGTAGTTTTCGTGCCTCCCCTGTAGTTTTGGGATTCGTGCGTGGACACCCGTCCCGCCGTATCCGCAATCCTAGCTTTCCCACCACCTCCGTAGTATTTGGGATTTGCGCGTGGACACCCTTCCCGCCTTATCCATAAGCCTAGTCTTCCTGTCGTCTCCGTAGTTGTGGGATTCGCGCGTGGACTCCCTTCCCGCCGTATCCGCAATCCTAGTTTTCCCGCCTCCCCCGTAGTTTTGGGATTCGTGCGTGGACACCCTTCCCGCCGTATCCGCAATCCTAGCTTTCCCACCACCTCCGTAGTATTTGGGATTTGCGCGTGGACACCCTTCCCGCCTTATCCGCAAGCCTAGTCTTCCTGTCTCCTCCGTAGTTGTGGGGTTCGTGCGTGGACACCCTTCCCGCCGTATCCACAAGCCTAGTGTTCCCGTCTCCTCCATAGTTTTGGGATTCGTGCGTGGACACCCTTTTGCCGTATCCACAATCCCGCCGCCTCCGTAGTTTTGGGATTTGCGCGCGGACGCCCTTCCCGCCTTATCCACAATCCTAGCTCCTTCGCCATCCTGGGAATCGCGTGCGGCTCCGCCCCTCGTGCAGACTTACGCCCGCAAAGTAATCCCCCGGCTTGGCCTCGCCCGAAGGTCCAGCCCGGTGGATTTTTCGCCTCCGACGCGGAACCCAAGACTTACTCCCGCCAAGTTATCTCCCGGCTCGGCCTCGCCCGAAGGTCCAGCCCGGTGGATTTTTCGCCTCTGACTCGAAGTGCAAGATTCCGGCCAGCCCGTTAGGTCGCAGCCCAGGAATCGGACTCTGCATAACCAACGTCATCTGCTTT